CTGTCACCACAGTCAGGGTAAAGAATAGATCTGTCACCTTTATAGCCAGTTTCTTCTCTGTCTGAATATTTGACAGTCAGTAATCTATTTTCATTCAGTAGTTTAGCCTTTTCTGGGATGCCATATAAGTGGGTTTATGCTCTATATAACATTTGAGAATGATTTGGTTTGTTTTTTTTTCCATTCAGTAAGATAGCTTTGAAGTCCATCCATGTTGATTATATCAATAGTTCATTCATTTTTATTGCTAAATAGTATTCCTTGTATGGATGTACTGGGCATTTGACTATTGGGGGTTATTTAGATTATTCCTGTTTTTTGGTGACTACAACTAGAACAACTATGTGAACATATAGAACAATTATGTGAACATAATTTTCACTTCTAGGGTAAATAGTGGGTTTGCTGTATTATATGTTAAGTATATAGTTATATAAGATGCTGCTGTTATCTATAAGACAATATAGAGTGTGTAATTTTGCTTTCATAGCCACAGTATATTCGACTTCTAGTTGTTTCATTTCCTGTGAGCAGTTGGTGCTGTTAGTGTTGCTATTTGGGGATTTTTAGCCATCAGATAAATATGTAATGGCATCTCATTATGGTTTGCTTTGCCATGGTCAAATGATGTTTGAGAGTTGTTGTTGTTTAATATGTTCATTTTTTTTATCTGTGTATGTTCTTTCATGAATTGTTCAAATCTTTTCTCATTTTATATGTATATATATATAAAATTTTTGTTGGTCATGGAGCTTGAACTCTGGGCCTAGGCACTATCTCTGAGCTCTTAGGCCTGGGTACTCTCCCTGAGCTCTTCAGCTGGAGGCTAGCACTCTACCACTTGAGCCACAGCTCTACTTCTGGCTTTTTTGCTTTAGGTAGTGCTGAGAAATTGAATCTAGGACCTCATGCATGCAAGGCAAGCACTCTACCACTGAGCCACCTTCCCAGCCCTCCTCATAGTATATTTAACTGTTTTATTAATGTTGGGATTGTTTGTGCTGGTACTGGCGCTTGAGCTCTGGGCCTCTTGCTCTGTTTTTTGCTCAATGGTAATGCTCTACCACTTGAGCCATACCTCTACTTCTGGCTTTTTGGTGGTTTATTGGAATGTAGAATATCACAGACTTCTCTCTCTAGGCTTGTTTCAGACGGTAGTTCTCAGATCTCAGCCTTTTTAAGTACCTAGGATTACAGTATCCAGTGCCTAGTGCCCAGTGCCCAGCTGTTAATGTTGAATTTTAAAAGAGTTCTGGTTCTATTTTAATTAAGAGTTGTATTATTTCTATTATTTGAGAATGTTACTGTACAGGTTATAGTTTTGACTTTTAACAGTGTTCTTCACAGAGCAAAAAACTTTTCATTTATCAACTTTTTCCTTTTATATTTTGAGATTTGGAATCATATCTGTAACCCCTTTGTCTAGTCAGTTCAGGAAAATTTTTTTCCTACAAGTATTGTGATTTTACCCTTTACATTTAGATATGTGATCTGAGTTAAAATTGTGTATGTGTGGGTTTGGAAGGTGGCTCAGTGGTTGAGTGCTTGCCTTACATGCATGAGGCCCTGGGTTCAATTCTTCAAAACCACATAAGCAGAAAAGCTGGAAGTGGCACTGTGGCTTAAGTGGTAGAGTGCCAGCCTTGAGCTGAAGAGCTGAGGGACAGCACCCAGGCCCAGAGTTCAGGCCCCATGACCAAAAATAAATAAATATAAAATTGTATATGTGTGATGGGTAGGTGAAGGATTTTGTTTTGTATTGTTTTTTTATTTTTGCAAGTGAATGTCTAGTTTTTCCAACACCATTTATTGAAAAATACACTTAATCCATTGAATCCCCTTTCTACTTTGGTCATAGTAGGCTTAGGAACCACCAAGTTTATTTCTTTCAAAACTTATTGGCTGTTCTAGGATTTTTTCCCATATAAAGTTTGGCATAATCTTGTGAACAGCTACCAGAAAACTAGAATTCCTGTTGCAGTTTTTGAAGCTTTTGTGAATATTATTGCATAACATTTTGCTTTAATTTTTTTATGCCTGGTACATAGAATATGATTGAATTTAGGAAGTAAACATCGTAATCTGACTTTTCTAACCTCACTTAGTACTTCTACTAACTTTATAGGTTTCTTGGATTTTTTTTTTTTAAATGTGCAAGTACATGGTGATTGATTTCAGGGCCTCTTAATGTCACTCAGCTTTCCTGCTCATAGCTGAGGCTCTAGCCCTTAAGCCACACCACCAGTCAAGGTTTTGGTGGCTCACTCCTATAATTCTAGCTACTCAGAAGGCTAAAATCCAAGAACCAAGGTTCAAAGCTAGCCTAGGCAGGCTCAAGTGGTAAAGTACCAGTCAAGAGCAAAAAGCCCAAGCAAGAAAAACTACCACTTGGCAAATATTGAAGTAGTATCAAATAGAATATATCTATAGTTATCTCAAAAAGCTTTCAAGTTTTGGTTTTCCCAGCTATATTTCTTAATATATACTTTATTTATTTATTTTTTTTTTTGGGTCCTGTCGTGGGGCCTGAACTCTGGGCCTGAGCGCTGTCCCTCAGCTCTTCAGCTCAAGGCTAGCGCTCTACCACTTGAGCCACAGTGCCACTTCCGGCTTTTTTTTTCTTTTTACTGATGTGGTGCTGAGGAATCGAACCCAGGGCCTCAGGCATGCAAGGCAAGCGCTCTACCACTGAGCCACCTTCCCAGCCCCTTAATATATACTTTAATCAAAACAGCAGAGTGCTGGTAGCTCATGTCTGTAATCCCAGTTACCCAGGAAGCTGGATATGAGGATTATGGTTTGAAGCCAGCACAGACAGGAAAGTGAATGAGACTTATCTCCAATAAACTATTCAGAAAAAGCCTTTGGGCGCTGGTGGCTCACACTTGTAATCCTAGCTACTCAAGAGGCTGAGATCTGAGGATCATGGATCTAAGCCAGCCTAGACAAGGAAAGGAAAGTCCATGAGACTCTTATCTCCAAATAACCTCCAGAAAAAGTGGTGCTGTGGCTCAAGTGGTAGAGTGTTCACCTTGAGCTGAAGAGCTCAGGGATAACACCCATGTCCAGAGTTAAAGCCATATGACCAAAAAAAAAAAAAAACATGGCTAAGGTAGAATACCAAAATCTAATAGTTTGTTATTAATACCAATGGATTCAAGAATGTAAAACAGTGCCTTCTCACCAATTTTTTTCATTTTGAAAAAGTTATTTTTTTACAAAAATGTTTATATTGGACACCTAAAGATTTAATATTACTAATTTTAACTGAATATATAAATTATTTTTAATTTCTTAATTTGTATAGATGAGATTTTTTTTTTTTTTGGTCGGCCGTGGGGCTTGAACTCTGGGCCTGGGCACTGTCCCTCAGCTCTTCAGCTCAAGGCGAGCACTCTTACCACTTGAGCTACAGCGCCACTTCCGGTTTTCTGGTAGTTTATTGGAGATAGGAGTCTCACGGTCTCTCCTGCCTGGGCTGGCTTTGAACCGCGATCCTCAGATCTCAGCCTCCTGAGTAGCTAGGATTACAGGCGTGAGCCACCAGCGCCCAGCTTAGATGAGATTTTTTGATAGTATTGGGCTTTTAACTCAGTGCCTTGGACTTGCTAGGCAGGAACTTTACAACTTGAGCTGTTCCCCCAGCTATGAAGCTGTAAATAGGGCTTGAACTCCAGATCTCATAGTATAGCTTGGCTTCTATTTTCAACACTCACAGTTGTTGCTCTACCACTTGAACCATGTTTTCACTTTTAGATTTTTGCTAAAAGAATCTGTTGGAGGGGCTGGGAAGGTGGCTCAGTGGTAGAGCGCATGCCTTGCATGCCAGAGGCCCTGGGTTCGATTCCTCAGCACATAAGCAAAAAGAAAAAAGCCGGAAGTGGCGCTGTGGCTCAAGTGGTAGAGCGCTAGCCTTGAGCTGAAGAGCTGAGGGATAGCGCCCAGGCCCAGAGAGTTCAGGCCCCATGACTGGACCCCAAAAAAAAAAAAAACAACAAAGAATCTGTTGGATTTGTCTGTCTGGGCTGGAGTTAAACCACAATCCTTAGATCTCTCCTGTGTAGCCAAAAACAGACATCAGTTTTTGCTTTTGTTTCTTTGCAGTGCTGGAGATATAATCTCACATACACTAGGTATAAGATTCATTATTTAACCTACTATGTTTAAGGTTAAATGAATATATTCATGTTTGTGGGATAATTTGGTAAAATAATTTAAATGTAGATTAATAAATTTTTGAGCTCCTACTATTAGATTACTGTGCAGGTCTTTTGGAGAAAAAAATATGGAAAGAGAATGTGCAAAGATGAGATTGTTATGAAGGAGCTTTGTTAACACATTAGACTGGAAGGAAAAAAAGTTACATGTAACTTTCCTAGTCTATGAACCAATGAAGAAGCACTTTTTTTTTGTTAGTTGTGGGGCTTGGACTCGGGACCTAAGCACTGTCCCTGAGCTCTTTTGCTCAAGGCTAGTGCACTACCACTTTGAACCAGAGTTCCACTTCTACTTTTTGAGTAGATAATTGGCAATCTGAGTCTCATGAGGACTTTTCTGTGTGGGCTGGCTTTGAACTCTGAATCTCAGATCTCTGTCTCCAGAGTAGCTGGGATTACAGGTGTGAGCCACCAGCACCCAGCTTAGAAGCATCATTTTTGTTTTGTTGTGCCAATCAGGGCTTAGGTACTGAGCTGAGCTTTTATTCTTACTCAAGGCTAGTGCTGTGCTACTTGAATCACAGCTCCACTTCCAGCTTTTTAGTGGTGAATGATAAGAGTTTCACGGACTTTTCTGCCTGGGTTAGCTTTCAATCATGATCCTCAGATCTCAGCCTCCTGAGAGCTATGATTATGGGCATGAGCCTCCAGTACCAGTCTAAGAAACACCTTTTTTGATGGAAGCTTATTCTCTAAACAAAGTCCTCCTGTTTGTGAATATTGTTCTTTGCTGTGATCCAAGATGCTGTTTGATTTTGAAGTTTTTCCCTTATTCCTTTGCAGGTATAGAACAAGATGCAGTGAATACTTTTACCAAATATATATCTCCAGATGCTGCTAAACCAATTCCAATTACAGAAGCAATGAGAAATGACATTATAGGTAAGCAGTACTTGAAGCTATAGCAAAAATAAAAATACCTGTGTTTGGTATTTACTATGTTTTAAAAAGTGAATATGGACTATAACACTTTCCTTCCTACTCTGTTTTCATAGTATTTTTTTGCATCTGATTTTTAGCTCACTTAAAAAGTTTTTGTTTTATTTGTGAACCTAGACTCCTGGACTTTGACCTAAATAATAGCAACTATATGAATAATAAACATTCATGGAACACTAACTCTGTACAATATTCTACAATATTCTAAGGATTTTCCATGTATAAATTCATAATTGATATAATAGATAATATATATTTTTTGGGGGGGGATCTGGTCGTGGGGCCTAAACTCTGGGCCTGGGCGCTGTCCCTCAGCTCTTCAGCTAAAGGCTAGTGCTCCACCACTTGAGCCACAGCACCACTTCTGGCTTTTTTCTTTTTGCTTATGTGGTGCTGAGGAATCAAACCCAGGGCCTCAGGCATGCAAGGCAAGCACTCTACCATTGAGCCACCTTCCCAGTCCCAGATAATATTTTATAAATGAGAAAACTAAAGCAGAGGAACATCAACATCTCAGACATAGCAGTGTTTCCATACTATCAATTTCCATAGTTATACACTCATACTCTTGTCCCCCAAAACAACAACAAAAAAAACCCATTGGAATAAAAACATCAAAGTGTTGACAGAGTAGTAAGGGTAGTATTACAGAGTAGTATCACTTCAGGAAATTGTTTCTATCATATATACATATGTGTACATGAAGATAATACTTAGACAACAAATATATCTCTGTACATCACAGCTAAAAAAGCATCTTTGCATGGGGCCACATATAGATCCTTATGAGTAATGAGACAAATTATACAAAATGAAAGTAAGTTATTATCCCTCCCCAAAAATTTGAATGCTTTCACTGTGTTTTATCATGTACACCTTAGAGAAAAGTATATTCCCAGATGAAAGTAGTTCATTTTTTCTTTCAATGAATATTTGTTACAGTAGACTTAGTATCCCCAGGTATGTGGTTCCCAGGAGACCATAATTGGAGAAACACAGCTCAGGATGGATAGAGTTTAGTACTACATTGCAGATGCTTGATTCATTTTTCATAACACTGGTAAAGATATACATCTTTGAAATATTTTTACTTAATCACTTAAACACATTGACTTTTATCTTGCTTTTAGGGATACATATTTTCACAAAATTAAGGGCAGAGACTTATGTACCAGTAGCTCATGCTTATAATCCTAGTTACTTAGGAGGCTAAGATCTGAGGATCATGGTTCAAAGCCAATTCAGGAAGGAAAGTTTATGAGATTCTTATCTCCAGTTAACCACCAAAATTTAGAAGTAGAGCTGAGACTCAAGTGATAAAAGTGCCATCCTTGAGCAAAAAAGCTGAAGGACAGCACCTAGCCCTGAGTTCAAGCCTTAGTATCAATGCACCAAATGCACACACACACACAAAGAAAGAAAAAATTGATAACAGGGAGAGAACAGATCACACAATGATTGAAACACAACTTAGAGGCTAGAATGTATCACAGGTGTAGAGGGCCTACTTATCAAGTGCAAGGCCCTAAGTTTATACCTTCAATACTTGGACCATGCCTGGTCAAAATTGTATGGAATCAATCCATGAATAAGGAAGGTTTATTGTATAAGCTCTAGTATAAGTTTTATATTTTTATTCATTAAAATTTTAGTATTTCTAGCTGGGTGATGGTTGGCTCATGCCTGTAATTATAGCTACTCAGGAGGCCAAAATGTAAAGTTCAGGGGTTGAAGCCAGCCCAGACAGCAAAGTCCATGAGACTCTTACCTCCAGGTAACCAGGAAAAATCTGGAAGTGGAGCTGTGGCTCAAGTAGCAAAGTGCTAGTGTTGAACAAAAACACCCAGGGACAGTTCACAGGCCCTGAATTCAAGTTCCAGTACCAGCTCATGTACACACACACACAATTTAATATTTGTGATTTACAAAATAAAGTACATATTCTGCTCCAAACAGATTCTTCCACTTCTGGTTATGGGTACTTTTACTTATTATGAAGTTAGCCTACCGCACATCCCATGGAGCATTTGTTGTCCGTTTTTATGTTGATCAACTTCTGCTCCTATGTCCCTTTTTTTCTTCTGTGTAGACACCTATTACATATAGGTTTAGAGACTGGTTGTGTGTTTTCTTCATTTTATTGGAGTTTGGAGTTTGTGGGACACTGTTTCATTCAGTTTTACTGACAGTTCTGTCATGAGATTTTGGGTTTTCTTTCTAATTACTCTCTTTTTAGCTGTGAATTTGTTGCTGCTGTCTCCCAGGCATCTAACTTTTTCTGGTAATACAACTAGCTTGTCCTGATTAGAATTTGGCTATTTGCGGAATTGATTGGCTATTGATTCCTTTGATAGTCTGTATCTGTTAGCAACTAAACTGAGAGAATAATAGAAGAAGTTTGAAACCAAATAAAACATTTTTAAATGAATTTTACTGCACTTCTGTTTTTTATTTACTTAATGAATTAATCAGTGATTAAATACTTAACAAATTAATGATGTAATTATTTGAGGGGAAAAAAATCTTCTAAGGATCATATTTACTAATCAAGGGACCTGAAAAAATTTCTATCTAATGTCTACTATGCCTCTATGCATTTTAGAATGTTAATTACTTAAATGGAGCTAGACAAGTCACTTTTCCTAGTTGAATCTCATTCTTCTGAATATTTCCCTAATTATTTGTCTCCTCTTAAAACCGAAATATTAATTTATTTTTGTCAGTCATGGGGCTTGAACTCTGGGCCTGTGTGCTGTCCCTGCACTCTTCAGCTCAAGGTGAACGCTCTACCACTTGAGCCACCGTGCCACTTCCAGTTTTCTAGTGGTTTATTAGAGATAAGAGTCTCACAGGACTTTCCTGCCTAGTCTGGCTTTCAACCATGATCCTCAGGCCTCAGCCTCCTGAGTAGCTACAATTTACAGGCAAGAGCCACCAGCACCTGGCTTGAAATATTTTAATATAGCTGTATTTCAATTGAATTTTGTTTCAAGGATCCTTCACATTAATTATCCAACCTGCCTAGTTTTGTTATAAACGTTAACCGTAGGGTTTTGGTGATGGCGTCTAATTTGTTTTAATGTGCAAATTCAGAATGGTCCAAAGAGTATATTTCTATACTCTCTTCCATCTTTAACATCTTTGAAGTACTAGAATTTTTGTGTGTGTCAGTCCTGGAGCTTGAACTCAGGCCTAGATGTTATCTATGAGCTTTTTTTCTCAAGGCTAGTAATTTACCATTTGAGTCATACATAACTCCACTTCTAGCTTTTTTTGTGGTTAATTGGAGATAAGAGTGTCACTTTCCTGCCTGAGCTGGCTTCGAACCTTGATTCTCAGATCTCAGCCTCCTAAGTAGCTACGATTACAGGTATGAGCCACTAGCACCCAACTTTGAAGGGACAGCTCATAGAATTTGCTGTTTGGGAGATCAGTGCTGTGTAAGAGAATAGGAGTTAAGCATAACTCTTCAGAAAAACAAAACAAGGGTCTGGGAAGGTGGCTCAGCGGTAGAGTGCTTGCCTCACATGCATGAGGCCCTGGGTTCGATTCCTCAGTACCACATAAGCAGAAAAAGCCAGACGTGGCGCTGTGGTTCAAGTGGTAGAGCACTAACCTTGAGCTGAAGAGCTGAGGTACAGTGCCCAGGCCCAGAGTTCAGGCCCCACGACCAACAAAAAAAAAAGAAAAGAAAAACAAAACAAAACACAATACCTGGAATAATAAAATTGCCAATTCCAAGATAAGAAAGGTCATGGGAGGATAGCTTTTGGGAAAAGTTAGGAGTTTGATTTTCGATTTCTAAGTAGTCAAGTAGACAGTTAAACACTTACGTTGGAAGTTAATCGTAAGCAGTTCAGGTTGGAGATGCCTGTTTGGAAGTCATCAGTATAATAAAAAGTTAGACCCTCCAGACTAGATAATATTATTGTAAGAGTGAGTATATTTAAGTAAAAGGACAGGCTGGGAATGTGGCTCAGGAGTAGATCACTTGCCTAGCATGTACAAAGCCCCGGAACATGCCTATCATTTAGAAGTCAGCAGTAAGAAAGAACTAGCAGAAGAGAATTAAACTAACAAGCTACCCTTTTATATCAACTAGATATGCAGAGTAGTTTTTCTGGAAGCCAAAATAGAAAAAAACAACAAGTTTCAAGCAGCCATGTGCCAGCAGCTCACATATGTAATCTTAGCTACTCTGGAGGCTAATATCTGAGGAGAGCAATGTGAAACCAGTTAGAAAGGAAAGTTCATTAGACTCTTACCATCATTCAGCAGCACAAAGTTGGAAGTAGAGCTCAAGTGTTAGAGCATTAGCCTTGAGTGAAAAAGCTAAGGGACAACATCCAGGCCCTCAGTTGAACCCATGGTACCAGCACCCCAAAAAATTGTTTTAGTAAAGAAGAAACCAAAGATGTTAAATGATGCTGATAAAGTAAGATGAAAAATAAGAATTTGATGGCTTTGGAAGCAATGCACACTGGTCACTTAACAGTGGGCTGTTGCTGCCAAGTACTTAGTTAGATACATCTTAATAGAAAATAGGCGAAGGAATGGAGATACCAAGTATTGACATTCTTTGGTTTATGGTGGTGGAGCTAGAGCTTGGAACTTGGGGCCTTATGCTTGCTAGGCAAGCACTCTATAAGCGTTATGAGGTGGAAGGGTATATAAAGTAAAGGGGAAAAGTGTGTGATTTTTTTTTTTTTCCATTTGGGGCTTGAACTCTGGGCTTGGGCACTATCCCTCAGCTCTTCAGCTCAAGGTGAGTGCTCTGTTGCTTGAACCACAGCACTACTTCTGGTTTTCTAGTGGTTTATTGGAGATAAGAGTCTCATGGACTTTTCCTGCATGGGCTGGCTTTGAACCGTGTTCCTCAGATCTCAGCCTCCTGAGTAGCTAGGATTATAGGCATGAGCCACCAGTGCCAGGCTGATTTTGTTTTTATTTATTTATTTTTATTTATTTATTTATTTTTTGGTCCAGTCGTGGGGCCTGAACTCTGGGCCTGGGCGCTGTCCCTCAGCTCTTCAGCTCAAGGCGAGCACTCT